GCGCATTTGCGGAGCTCGAAGCAAACCTCCGCTGAGGCCGCAGATGGACCCAGACCGCCGATCGTGACGAAAGAGCCCTGGGCCCTCTTGGTAATATTCGAGGCGGCATCACGAGCCTTTGAAGACTATCGTGACATGGACGGATGTATTCGATTCGCGGACCGCGAAAGCCGGAATGGTGGTGTCATCACAGCGTGTTTGACATGTTTGCAGCCAGACACGCTAAGATTATGTCATCAAGGCAAGTCGCGTCGACCTGCCGCGACGTTAGCGCCGGCTTCTTCCACCTTCCAAGGTTCTCCACAGCCAAACCACAACCACATCTTTGCTTCCAATTGGAATCTTCGGACCTCTTCCAAGGATGCTTCTGACGACGACAACGACGACGACGACTATGACGATCGAAGGCATACACGTTCCATCGATGCTAACGGCTATCCAAGGTGCACCGTCCCTGCAGCTGATGTTCACACCCCTCAATTGATCATCTGGCCGTTACTCAGTGCCAGGAGCAGTCACTGTCAGTGAGCTACTCAGGACATTACAACATTCTCTGCGGTCTCTCAGGTTCTCCGCACTCGAATTCTTCGCAACCCGCCAGATTCATGTTTTTTGGTCATGCAGTATAACTTCCGTCGTGGTAATTATGACGAGTATGCCTGTATCCTGCAGGATGTCGCCCGTTGAAGATGATAGGCACGGTACTTTTCACAAAAGTCACCACGGCAGCGGTCTCTACCATGGCACTGATGTGTGACGGGTGACTCTCATAGGCTAGTTTTCCCAGGAACGCTCGGGGTGCACGCTGCTCTCGCGTGCGTGTGCAGCGTGCAGGACCTTCTTATCTGCTCCAGATTGCTTCGCTGGACTTCCAAACTGCCACTAACCACACAAAATGTTGTTTAGTCAATTCCGTACGATTGCATCAACAATCTGGTATCTTTCAATTGAACATCATTGGTGGAGTTCATTGGTACAAGTGAAAGACTTTGGTCATTGGCGGCACCAGCATGTTCTTGCTGATCGTACCGTACTTATTGCTAGGCTATTAAAGTAATAAGAGTCATCCGACTATCGAGCACTGGTATCGGTCAACAAAATTCTTTTCTGCTTCGCTCTCATTGTCAGCTCTGCCATCAGTTTCTAGCTTTCCAATGCTATGACATCTCAAGCACCTGGAAACACACCTCCCGACGAGCCTTGTGTAATTTTCAGCATCAGCGAAACAGAAGTGGACCCGGAATTCTTCCAATTACCATACCCTCCAAAGCTTTCATTGAAGCGACAAGTGTCGGAATCATTCCTCCAAACGCGTGGCTACATCAAGAAACAAAGAAGAATACACTCGAGCAGTCGTGAGACAGCGATCGACTGTCCTTGCTTGCCACCGCCAGCGTACAACATAGCCATGACTGGGCCCAGTTCAAACTTCCACAGTGCTTACTCTACCCTGCCTACCACACCCCCTACACCCGAAAACGAAACTCATCCACGAAGACCATCACAAGTCACCGAGATCATAGAGAAGGTCAACGCAAAGCTTAGGCGTCTCTTTGGTAGTCGAAGGGGATCCGTCGAAGATGTACACACATCATTCAACGCTACTGTCAGCGAGCGACCGAGTGTGTTTCATACGCTGAGTGGACCACCAGAGGAATCGCATATCCAGCGTGATCCCGGAGATGTCGTTGGGATGAGTGTGGCTTCCCTACCCAATGTAAGGGAATACTTTCATGTCAATGGCGAAATAGGCTTGGCTGCTTCCACATCACTGCTAACTGATACTCCCTTTAGACAACGTTCCAGGCGAGACGAAGAAACACCATGCAAACACAGTCGAACTGCGACTTACACTACGATGGAGATGGCGAACTGGAGCAGCTTCATAGCCTCCAGTCTTATAGTACGCAAAGTACGAGATACGGAGGACGAAAGCGGAAAGACTCCCAATTCAGCTTTAGCGATTTGTTGCGACCTCGACGATTCAGCAAAGCAGAGAAAGGCAAGGGACGGATGGAATACGATGAAGAAGCCGGATCAACCTCTCAAGACCAACTCCTCCATACTGATCGAGAGACCTCATCAGATCCAGTCAAACTCCCTCTAACGGAATATGGGACTTTGCCTCTTGGACCATCTGACCAGCATGCTGGCCCTTCAACGCCGTCGTCAGCTGCAGTATCACCGATGGAACAAACCATACCCATAAGGCCCAAGCCTGTCATACCATCAAGGCAAACGCCAACAGCAAGAAAAGTGAGCGTGCGTCTTGTACCACCTACACCTGCGCCTCCACGTGTTCAGCGGCGGTCATCGACCAGCTCCATAGCCTCCTCCTCCTCGGTTTCTAGTTTCGACTCTACCAACCCAATGCCGATAGCAACCAGCATTTTCCTCCAACGCGCACGCGACATCGTGAACACAGCCACAATCGAAGTAGGTGCAAACGGGCACTCCCAACCCATCTCCATCCCATCTTCACACCGCAACAGCCGCCGCTCATCCATAGTCCCAGAAGGCTCAGCACGACCTCTAGACGACTCCCCAACTCTGCCTCCATCCCTCACCTCATCAACAGCCGAGCTCCTCCGTCATGGCGACCGCCCAGATACAGCACCTTCTTCACCCTCTCTCGATCCTACTCTTGTTCCTTCTCTGGACACCATGCAAACCCTGCATCTCGGCCCGCCTCAACGAGCTCTGCTCCAACGATCGGTATCGAGTAGTTCATCACGCATGTTCCACGTCTCCGTCGAGCATCTGTCTACGCCTACGCCCGCACAGCCCGTCTCGCGGTTTAGTGCTTGTTCGTCTCTGGCTAGCAAACCTGCAGAACCCATTTCGCGGTTCAGTGCCTGTTCTTCTCTGGCTAGCAAGTATAGTTCAGCCGTGGAGCATGTAGATGATACGCCGGATTTCAGTATCACGCATCCTGCGCCTCCAAGCCCTGTTCCTTCTTCCTCGCCGGCACTGGAAGCGGTCCCATCGCCTGTTAAGCGACGGACTGGAAGTTTGGAAGGGAGTCAGGATCTACGCGCTGTGTATATTGAGCAGGGAAGAGCGAGCGTTATAACTTGTCCTCCGCGACAGCGAAGTCCGAGGAAGAGTTTACAGGGGATGTGTTGGTGGGACGAATCGCCTCCAAAAGTGTATCTCTAGGTTTGTGTGGTGTCATTCGGGTTGTGCCTTTGATTCATATGTAAATTGAACCCATCACAGTGCAGTCATATAGCACATAGGAAGACATGGTAGTTCCTCATCCACGACACCTCGGCGTTCAATGTATTACAACAGCATACTAGATAATGCTACCTCTGCCCCTGGGGCTAGTAAACCAACATCCCATCACCATCATCCATTACAAATATACGCCATGAACCCCATGCAGTACAACCAAAGACAAAGCCTTGCCAGGCTGTCATGTAAAATGAGCGAAAAGGCCCAAGCTGGGTATCGAGCTAACCGAAAGGACTGGTGATGCTTTTATGCAGAAAGACGCTATGCATGAAGAAAGGACAGAAGATGGACGAAGCTTAGATTGCGCGGCGAGATTGTGTGGTCCTAGATTTTACAAGAGGACGGCGAAGCCGAGGAAGACGCTGCCGAAGACGGCGGCGAGGCCGAGGCCAGCGTTGGGCATGAAGATGGAGCCAGCGCCGCCTTGGTCGTTGGAGCCTCCGTTGTTGTTGCTGTCGCTGGAGCCGGTCTCAGAGGCACCACCGAAGCCGGTCACGGGGATGGTGTTTGAGGCGGAGCCGTCGGTGCCGGTGGCGGCGGCGGTGGAGGCCATGGTGGTGGGGAGGGAGGTGTTGCCGCGGTACGGGTCTTGAGCTCCGCAAGGGTGGTCCTCACTGTTGACATGTTAGTTGTGTTTGTAATGGGTAACTTGATACAACGTACCGGCAAGCGCTCTGGCAGCTGTTGTCACCGTTGCAGTTCTCGACGCAAGTGTTTCCCCATTGTTGGCAGATGAAGTATGGCAGTGTCTGGGAGTACTCTGTGATGTTGGGCGCGACACCGTTCTCGCAAACGCAAGTGTAGGTAAGAGCGTCGGAGTCGCAGTCGTTCTGCTCGGTGGTCATGGAGTTGATGCCGGGCTGCTGGAGGCAGATGAGCGGGCATTGGGCCCTGTTCTGGTCACACCAGTAATCTGGAGAATGTTAGACGACGCGTCGTAGGTCGAATGATAACTTCTACATACCCCTAGTAGACTGCTCAACCGTGTCGGGGTCGATGGTGTACGGGTAGTTCAGCTGGGGGGTATCTTGAGCAGCGACCAGGCCAGTGAAGGCGGCGATGCTGAGGGCGAAGACGGAACGCATGTTGATGTTTGGGAGGTGTTTGTTGACGGAGGGTGAAGCGAGAGTATTAGATGATATACGGTCAGCGACAGACGGTGGACGGTCAAATACAAAAGTAAACCTCAACAGCGATGGTGATGAAGAGGCTGGAGAGAAAGGCGGCGTCCGATATATAAAGGGAGGGATGTGTCGACGGGAAGTAATGAGCTAGCGGTCGTTCGAGATAGGAAAGTTCACGGTCCGGTACGTGCACCCCCGCCTACCTTCAGCCATCCTTCTCGCCCGGGACGATGCCTGTCGGGGACGGGTTGCCGTGACTCAAGCCATAGTGTTGCGGTGGAGTCGGCGTGGAAAGGGCGGCATTCCGTGGAAGATGGCAGACTGCGTGATGGAAGTTTGCCATTAATCCCTCGGCCGGACAGGGATGGGATGGACGTGTGGTCGTATTGGCCACTGGCTGCAGCGACTAGTCGCTTCTCAGGGTCTCGCATCCTAGTCAGCTCTGCGCATCATTCGGTTGAGACGAGCGAGGCCAGCGCCGCCAATTCTCCAGACATCGTCAACAAGACACTAGACGCGACTGCATCTGGCTGCATGCACCGGCGAGCATATCTACCCCTCACACCTCCACGCGGCATTCTAGATACCAACCGCCCTCCCGTTTGACGCGCCACCTGCCCAGCCATCTCCTGTAAATGGATGGAGCCGGCGAGCTTTGAAACTGGAGACCCGTCTTCGTCGCCAGCCCGAGATGGGCCAACCCCCGCCACCGTCACTGTGGTCCCACCCTACTGGCAATCCCACCAGCGCAATGCCTCGTATCTGAGCAACTACTCTGCTGACAACGGCCGCCCCACCCCCATCGGCCTCGAGGACCATACGGATGAGGACTCGGACCACTGCAAAGTCCTCTGGGCCAAGGGTGTCACGATAGATGATTACGTTGTCATCAGCGGGCCGTCACCGGGCTTTGGAGCTTACGTCGTCTTTAATTGTACGGTCGAGACACTGGATGTACGTTCCCAGCCGCATGGAGATGCGCTAGCCCGCCCGGCGATGTCCTCGCAGCCAATCATCTGCATGAGATTGTTTTTCAAAAAAAAATGGTTTCATGCAGAGGGCCCGTGGTGGACTGCCATCTCCAGGTGATGAACCATCATGCATATGCTAACTGTGACAGGGTGGTCCCATGAAGATACGCAAGAGGTTGGCCATCGCCTGTCACTTTCGATTCCCTCTGCTGATCGTACCAGATACTCCGAGTTTGAAGATCTGCACACCAGGCTGCTCCAGACGTTTCCTCATGCCGCGGGTTCCATGCCGCACTTCCCACCCAAATCCGTAATATGTAAGTCACATGGCCGCCTGCAGCATCACTCCACCAAACAATATAATGCTAACGCGTCGGGCATAGCTCGCTTTAGGCCCCGTTTTCTGGAAAAGCGGAAACAAGGACTCTCGTACTTTCTCAAGTGTGTTTATCGATAACAAAGCTAGCGCATATCGGCTGACTATTAATAGTTGCGTTTTGCTGAACCCGGAGTTTGCTGGGTCGCCCGTCTTGAAGGACTTTCTCTTCTCGTGATCGCGTGGCTTTGAGGTTGTATTGACACTGACGTTGATGTATGAGTGGTATAAGAGTTGGATACGCTGTTGATGTGGTGCTAGGGTGTGCCCAGTTGCGACGAGCAAGTCCTCGAGTGAACCATCATTGACATCTCAATTGCTCGATCTTTCAATCTCTCAATTGCAAATGTAAGGGAAGGACCTCCTATAGTCAGTTCTAGCGTTATGATGTTCAAGTTGATGTGGTGTCGCCCACTCGTACTGATTGGCTACCAACGTCAGTGGCGCTACGCTTCCAAGTCTCTCACATGCGCTGTACTGCAATTCGTTGAATAATCTTCTGATGTACATGGCGATATCGAGATGGGAAGGTCTGCTATAGGGCTTAATCCAACCTCATCCATATTTGCAGTGTCTGGGTGAGGCGTACGGGAGCGCCGTGGGTGCAGCAGCTCGTTTGGCAAACTGCGCGGGCTCTGCCACTCGACGACCCCCTAACGGCTCGCGTTTTGGCACATCTCAGCGCGACATCAATGGCAGCTCCACAATGAATAGCTGAAAGATGACCCAGCGAATCGCGAATGATCTCAAGTCTGATCACTACCATGGCCAACGCCGTTCGGCCTTCGCTGCTGCGGAGCTCGAATGAACGGCAGACCAGGCTCAACTTCCTGCCCGTGTCGCGCGATGACGCCCACCCACAAGCCCAGCGCAACCACAACCACGCGCCCGTCGCGACCAGACGGGCCTCGAAAAGCGGCCCTCTGCTTGCGCGCGCCGACGACGACGGCGCCGTCAAGCCCGTCGCCCACACGCCTGCAAAACCGCCGCCGCCTGCGCGCACCAGCAGCAGGAAGCGGCCAGCCACTGCCCTCGAGCCCGACGCGACCGACACGAGACCGCCGACCAAGATTACCGTTACACAACCACATGGCGAGCTGCTGCGCATCACCAATGGCGTCGCCGCGCCCCTGGGCATCGACGCCGACGACGTGCCCTCCGCGAGGTCCACGCCCCGGCCTGGCAGCTCCGGCAAGCTTGCTGCGCCCCCAGCTGTCCCCGCCCCGGCGTCCACAGCTTCCTCCACAACCACCGACAAGAGGAGCCTGCGGAGCCACGATGGAGGGTCGCGGCTGAAGAGCGACCTCGCCGTCTACTTTGCCAACTACGACGACATCATTGCCGGCGTGCCCAAAGAGGATGGTAGGTCACTGTCCCTGTCACATGCCGATATAGCTTCTGATCGCGTGCAGAATTTCTCGATGTCGACACGCCCATATACATCGTCGACGAGCCCATCAAGGCCAAGACTCCAGAGCCCCCGCGAAGCTCAGTAAGCCCGACGCGGTCACGGAAAACACGACACTCGTCCCCACCGCGCCATGCCTCGGATCCGTCAATACTCCCGGCCCAGTCCTCGACTACATTCACAGTCCTCAACTACGCCTCCATAGCCAATGCCATCTCCCACAATGACGGCGAAGACCCGCTCGCCGACTCCGTCTTCTTCACACAGCACCGGCGTGCCGAGCGCAAGGAAAAGCAGCTGCGGAATATCGAAAAGGAGCGCGCCATGCACGAAAAGGTGCAATTGGAGAGACTCCTCGACGGACTGCAGGGCCCAGACTGGCTCAAGGTCATGGGCATAACGGGCGTGACAGACGGCGAGAGAAAGGACTGGGAGGCGAAGCGCGACTACTTTGTCCGAGAGGTAGAAGCCCTCGTCGACAAGTTCCGCGTCTGGAAAGAAGAGGAGAAGCGCTTGCGTGCTGAAAAGGAAGCTGCACTCGCCGCGAGGGAAGAAGACGAAGAAGAAGATGGCGAGGAAACTGAAGACTCAGATAACATTGTAGTCCGCAGCCGCGATCCTCCACCACCACGACAGCAGCCCAAAGAGCCCGAGCCACCGAAACCACGGCGGCCACCGCGCCCCCATGGCTTCCTCCTCCCCTTCGTACCGCCCGAACCCGCAGCGCCGTTCAGTTCCTTCTACGCGAAACCACACCTCCGCGCCGCAGCCCTCGGAAAGCATAGACACGGGCGCAACGCATCTGCCTTCGGCCAACCCATACCCGAGTTTACAGAGAAGGAGTTTGAGCTCCCAGAAGGCTTCATAGACCCGCAGTTCCTAAAAGACAACGCAAGGCAGCGGCGGAGACGGAAGAGGGAGAGTGGTGTGAATACAGGGGCGGGCGCAAGTGCAAATTAGTCGCTTTTCTTTCTTACAATATGGGCCGGGGTTTCCAGATTCTATACCCCTTATAAACACTGTCGAGCAAGTCGAAAGCTAGGGTTTCTGTGGCGTTTTTTGTTTGATAAGGTATGGGGTTTGGAGGTGTGGGACTGGATGAGGGTCTCGTGCCGAGTGTATATTATCTGTGGAAATGGAATGCAAAATCGTTCCGTTCTGAGATTGGGTGTTTTGGTGCTGGTGCGTGTGATCTGTGGGGTCGACAGTGAAGAAATTGGGTTCGATCAGGTACGCACTTCTGTCGTTTGGTCGAGTGCTGGTGCTGATGATCATCGTCCAGTCTTGCATCTTCGAGCCGAGGGTCTCACGTGCTCGGGTTCCATTCTTCGCGTATATAAACCCGTCTTTTCTACTGTCTCCTTCCTTCTCTCTTCATCACACAGTCTGCTGCCTATTTTCCAAAACTGGGCGTGGACCACTATATGGCTGGCTGCTTGGCCTGCCTTTCTCCAAAAATCACTTCAAGAATGGCCATGACTTGCGGCCTGCTTCTTCTTTCAAAACGTTCTTCTTTCCAAAACCATTTGCTATATCGTCTATGATAGTGTGTGGGTCGTCCTTCTCTCCTACTTGAGAACCAACAAAAAAACCTCACCCAATTTCCATGTGGTGCTTTTCGGATCCGCTCCTTCTTGTGGTATGACAAGAAAACATCACCAAGATCTTACAGAACAAGAGTTATGTCTCGTTCCCAGTCTGCGGGTTCAAAAACTCCGACATCCATGCCATGTCTCAATTCATCTTCCAATGTTGCCGAATACACATGGTTTATGCACTCGCATCGTTTTGAGCAACTCTTGGTTTGCCGCCTACCGAAAAGAAATTCGCATCCGGGTATGTGCTCTGGCTGTGTTTGTGGTCTTCAACCTCCAAAATAGGATTAGGGAGAACTTGTGGAGTGCTCATGTCGCCGCCCACTAGCTCGTAAGAAGGAAGTGTTTGGCATGACTGGCTACTGGCTTAGCAGGGTGGACGGGTATATAAACCCCTCCTCCACCTCCTGTTCTCTCTTCTTCATACCACATCATCTTCTTTGATTTCCAAAATGACTAGAGAAATGCTCATGACTCTTCCTTCTGCTCTCTCCAAAATAGGAGGATGAAAAAGGTCATGGCTTCCGCTGTTCCGCCCTGTTTTGCAAGATCAAAACACGCATCGGAAGGAGTCATGTTTCTGCTTTCTTGTCACTTCTTCACTTATCGAAAGTACAACGAACCGTATGTATGTCGTCGGCTTGTGTCAAGCGCCCGCCATCCAAAGTCTCTCACTGGATCATCATGTGTTCAGTCGTCTGCGTGGACTTTCGTGTATCAAAAGCACCGAGCCTGTACTCATGACATACTGCTCCTGCACCTTTTGATGCGTGCAACGTATTGAAAAAGTAGACATGAATGGTCGCTCCTCGCATCGAGCATCTTCGGTTGCGGTCTTCATGGTGAACGGTGAACGGTGATCAGTGAAGGATGCCTGATTGATGCATCCGGTTGATCGCTTCATTCGGAAAGAATCATGTCATCTCACACTCATCAGTTTTAGTGCCTGAAGTTTTGATGTCGGTGCTGTTCGCCGGTGAAGGTGCGCCTGCCCAATGCGGAAGAGGCAAAGGTCGTCAAATCCTATTCTTGAAGCACTCACCTCCCACCACCATCACACCCACCCATGTCCACCCTCAAATCCACCCGCACACCCACACGAAAATGGGTGATATCTTACGATTAATATTTGAGAGCTTTCAACGATCGCGACAACGAGAGCTTGCTAACGATGCGGCAAGTCTCGCCGCCGTTTCTCCGACGTGGGCTTCACTCGCAGCAGACTTTCGAAGATCGATCGAAGACGCTAGCAAAAATGAAGCGAAGATCACAGATACAGTTGATCTAGAAACGCGATACAAACTATCACTCATCGAGCTGCAGAGTGAACATGCAGCTTCAGAAAGAGCTACAAAGGCATAGAGAGGTTGCCGAATATTCTATCAGAAGAGAAGTAGAAAGCGGCGATGCCGCCTTGCAGAAGTTGCTCGATAGGCTCACGAAAGCTAGCCAGTATCTCTGTTTCGAGCTACCGGAAGACATCGTCGCCCTCCAAGGAGAGCTAACCCCCTCCAGAGCTTCTCGCGCAGTGCTTGAAGAGTTGCAGTATCGTCTTGACATTCCCGTAGTACAACGGCCGTTAGCTGAGGAGATCATTCTCCAAGAACAAAGCGATAAGACTAGGTCACTTCTCACTAGCCAGGTGGACAGAATAGTCCAAGCCTGCGACGATAGAGTCGGCACAGAACAGTGCCGCACTACCAATGTCGAACGCGCATCGCTCATCTCAAAGATGAAGGTCAGTAGGACCATCACAGACCTGAGAGGGCAGATAGCAGCGAACGACAAGTTATGGGCCGAGGTGGTCTCAAGGTCAGAAGCGTGCTTGGCCGCGAAAGATCAACACATCGATGCCCTAACAGAGCGTCTCAGATTGCAGACGCAGATGCTAGACGAGAGACACGCCGTACTAGTGCAGATGGCAGATGCAGCTGCAACACCAGTAGGGTAGAGTCAAGATGTCTTGCTGATGCACTCGTCTGCGAAGAAGACCCCGTTCGTAGCTCAATTTGATAAACATTGATCCCATAGCATTCCTATCCTGCACCGCCGTGGGCTGGGAAGTCAACGTGAAGCGTCTGCAGTGATGTTGGAACTAGACCGAGAACAGAAGGCCTGTATTCATCGCCCTTCAGTCAGATGAAACCCTGCCAGCTCAGCTCCTGTCCAGGGGGCACGACCACACCCAGTGCAGCATGGTCGAACCACATAGCTGCTGGCACGCGAATATATGCGAGGCTGCTGAGGCTAGAGAAGTCAGCTCTTGAGCGCTGTTCCCGTCTCAGCCCCGGCCATGTTTATCTGATGTGAAGATGCGTCAACTTTGCGCAACGGGAGTAGTGCGCGGAGCGATATATTCTGTACATGGAAACTTGTAGTCATTCAATGAACATGATGTTTTATAGAAAAGCTCTCTAGCACGAGTGCGCATAGTTCAGATGAGTCCTACTACGGCTCTTTGGTATGATATATCCATGACAGATGATTTTCATTTTGCACAGAGCCTTTAGGCGATTGGCTCGTGTTCGTCCTTCGGTGGGTTCTTGTGAACGTGAACTTTGCGCACAACCGAGTTTGTGATCTATTAAGCTGTTAGCACGAATAATTAGATGTCTTAGAACTGCGTTAGCATAGTATAGCAAGGGAGCTACATACTAGTAATAAGTTAGCAAGATATCTTGACAGCTATTCGTGGCGGATACTTTACCATTGCGACCATCCTTCTCGGTAACCTGTTTATCCTCGTACACCAGCACAAAGTCGGTACACCTCTTCACCGGAAGATCGAAGATTCCCCATTGCTCCAGTAAGTCCAGGGCCGGCTGGGAGTCGGTGGTAGTCTGGCAGATTGGTTCCTTGTAGAGTATCTTGAAGGTGACATGGCAGCCCGTCTTATTGACTGTGCATGTGACCGTCAGTTTGTCCTCTCGTACTGCCTGGGCCCAGCTTTCGTTCGAGTTATGGATGAACTTTTGCATGGTGCGGGTATATCTCATCTGCTTGTTCTTGAAAGTCCTCCATTCGCTGCGGCACCAATCGTAGTCTGGACATTCGCAATCATCATCGCCGTATACACTTGAGTACCCAAGCTCTTCCATCTCCATATTCTTGAAGCAGTTATGGCACATATCATCTTCCACGGTGTATCCACTTGTGGCAAGCATGTGCGGAACGAATGCTACCTTTGATGAGGTAGATTGCACATACAGATGTAGCAGAGGCATCATGTCGAAGCTTGATCTGCCATCGTTGCGGTGGTCCCACGAGAATTGCACCAAACCCGGCACTAGCTTGTCTACACCTTCATTATGCAGAAACGCGTTGCCGAAATGGGTCCATTCGGATGTTGTCGCGAATCTAACACGGAGATGCTGGATCCAAAGAGGACGATACTCTGCGCGAATTTGTGTGCAGACCTGGGTCAAGGCAAAGAACTTCCAGGGACGCTCCGAGTGAGACTTGCGAGGCGAGTTTGGGAGGATAGGCCTGGGCCGTAGGGCATAATTCCTTGAGTCATCTTCGTTGGCGTAATCGTATACCCTGTTTCGTAACTCTTTGCAGCATTAGCGTCTAGCACTGTTAGAGACAAGGAAGACATACCGGGAGAAAGATCGAGGAAACGAAAGTACTGAGGAGTCTTGGTTGCGGGCTCCTCACTCTTCGCAGGCTTTGCAGCTGTCTTAACAGATTGCTTCGCTTTCTTGGTCACTTTAGTGTCTATAGCTTCGCCGCTTGCGCGCTTGCTGCCGGATCGTCTAAAGTAAGGTTAGTTGATAAACACGGGAGTGCGCGATAAGTAGGAAGTGACTTACGTAGTGGGCGCCATCTGCCCAGGTGTCGTCTTGTAGCCAGTAGCAAAGCTTACGACGCGGTAGAGTTGGTGTTGCAGTAAGTTGAGCGGTAGAAGGTGGGAGTAAACAAGTAGAGAAGGCAAGAGCACCCGCCAAGCGCCGCTAGTGGATTGACGCAGGCACGCAGTGACATGTTCCACAACAGTCCGCCTAGGTAAGACATAGGCAGGGGCACGTGAACCTTTCATCTTGGTTCTTCCAGAACGTCGCATGAGACAGAAGTGAATCGCGCTCTGCTTGCTCAATATGCGCTTGCAACAGCTCGCTCTCGTCCTCTCGACAAGCATGCCTGCGAAGGCCAGCTACTCAACACCCTTGCATAATGTCTCTTCATAGAAGAGAAAGATCACGACTTGCGAGGCTGTGTTTAATGCAATGCCAAGAGTGTAGACCTTACCCTTGAAAAGGTGATAGACTGCCTGTCCACACGTGGATGGACACATCGCGAAGACCAGATGAACTCACCTTCCCTACGCCACGCTATCAGCTGTTTGGAAATTGAAGGTTCTTGCGCTGAAAGACTTGGACGGTCTTTCTCCATAGTGTGGGTCATCTCAAGTTCCTTCCTTCCAATAAGAGTGGAGTCATCATATTCGCAGCGCGCACGCAAGCGCGCTTCTACACCTCTACTCTTGGGCACATCTTTGCGTAGCTCTATCGCAACCACAAACATCAATTGCATTTTTGTCATAGCAATTCAAGACCACTATACAAGCATCCATTATCCGGCGGATGTCCTCTCGGTAACACGAGCTGCTTCCGCCGCATGGACTATTACCAATGCCCAACAGAAGACCTCTCCACAGAAGCACGGCGCCGTGGGTTTCCAGGGCTTTGGAGCTCTCGGGACCATCTCAGCGAGGCCTTGATGCAAGATGACGAGGAAAGAGGATCGGATGCGACGACCGTTTCCACCACGGACTCCGGCGCTTTCATACCGCGGACTGTCAGTCTGGAACACACAGCGGCATTGGACAAAACCGATTTAGCTAGTCAATTGATCAACGAGAGCGCGTCTACCAAATGCGTAGTGCGAGAGGATGGCAGAGCTGACTATTCCCAGAGATTATTTACTGGACGTTGAACACGTTCTTTCCCGCAATACAGCTCTTCTTCGAGTCGGGCTCGTCGTGTACCATCGACTGCGGGAGGTTCCCGGACGCAATCGTTGGGCTGGATCCCGCACTCCGATTCAGATTGACGGATTGTGCATACGAAGAAGAAGGTCGCGTGGTTAACAGCATACTGCCTCGACGTTTTGTACATTCCGGTACCGGTCTCGTCATACAAGAAGCAGTAATCGCCCATCGCACGAGTATTGCAATCCGGAATTTTTCGGATCCACAGAAAACCCAGCTATGGCGACCAGGCGTTGTTGTCCAGCCCAAGATTACAAAAGAGCTGCACACAGTCGTTGGGCTCAGGCTGAGGGGAATGGACAAAACAGCGTACATATGGGCGAAGGCTGCGGTGCCTACCGGAGGAAGGGTGTGGGGAAACGTGAGGTCATCTGGCCTGCAAGACGATCTGCCTGTCCCCATACTCCCTTCTGTAGAGGAGGAGCCCGGCGCTCAAACAGTCGTGGTTATTAAGGACAGCCTGATCGAGCGCAATCGCCAGGGCAATAGGGAGATGGGGACCTTCGAGGCCATTACACCAGAAGATTCTTCGTAATTGTACCGGAGTTATGCGTTACGACACAGCTGGCGGTGGATGCGACGATGTCGAATTAAGTGTCTGGTAGTAGATTAGCTTGACAAGTAGCCATCTATCTTCAAGGTCCCTTCCGACGCATGTGAGGATATCCACTCGGGAAGATCCGGCCAAACTTCAGTAACGTGTGTCTGGAGCTGGATCGTGGTCGAAAGATAGCAGCATGCTGACAAAAGTCGACGTTATATATCCTAGGCCCGATCGGACTGGTATTGCGAGTAATCTCGGGCGAGTGTGCAAAACAGCAGGACCGAAGCGGATGTAAGGATCTTGAAGTGGGGTACTGAGTCGATCCCAGGCGCGGGCGCAGCTATAAAGACACTAATTCCCACGTCAGTACTGTTCAGCACCGCGCATCGCATCTACAACAGTCAGTACATCTTGCAAGTTGCTGTTGGTTTTTACTCACAGCGTACAGAACTCTCCGATACCATCCACCTATACATCATCATGTCCGGCGCCACCGCTATCGTCCTCTACCCTCGCAAGGAGGGCTCCACCTTTAACAAGGAGTACTACCTCAAGACACACATGCCGCTGGCCATGAAGAACTGGAAAGACCACGGTCTCAAGTCCTACGCCGTCAGTGAGCTCAACGCCGATGGTCCATACGCCATCAGCACCGTCATGGAGTTTGACAGCCCGGAGAGTGTCGGAAAGGCCTTGCAGAGTGAGGGCACCAAGGAGGTCATGGAGGACGTAAAGAACTTCAGCAGCGAGACACCGATCCTCGTTCACGGCAATGTCGTCGGACGGAGTTAGGCTTGGAACCAAATAGAAACAAGGTTGGCCGAGGATCGTGAGCGATGGATACTATGACGAGCCTCATGCAGGGTGTGGTGTGGAGACGGAGGGAGGATGGGGTTAGCGGCGTGAAAGCTGCATGGAGGGGTAGCTGTCTCGCTTGGGATGCCCCGCACTTCGTCCTTCCGAGGTATCCTGCATCATCCCATGGAGACATGTCAATCTTGTATCCATCATCACTGCGTTTCAAGCAATCGAAGAATCAATACATTGGAATCGTATTCTGAACTCTAGCGAGCGTTGTTATGTGTTCGATAAGGCCTGTCGTTTCGAGCTTGCCATGAGAAAAACTGCCACTCAAGCAGCCTCTGACCTTGTGTTATTGGTTGCTACTGAATCGCTTAGGTATGCAAAGAGCTGAGCACTTCAGCCTCGTCAGCATGAGTCCTGAGACACAGCCTTCTCCCCTCTACCAGGTGTAGCGAGGCTCCAGGCAGCCATCTATGTAAAATCTCTAAAGTCGTCTCACCCTTTGTTCTTCAACTCTCAGCACACTAAAACCTCGAAATCGCGCTGTGAACTACGAAGAGCTCATCGAGTTTTCCCGTCACAAGGCAACTGGGACCGATGGGCGACCTCTATGCATCGTGCCCCGTCGATCGCACGAGCCAAGAGATCAGGCTACTCAGACTCCTACCAAAGAATGACGAAGGCATCATTGAATGTACCATGCAGACTTACAATCACGACGACCGGCCACCTTACCAAGCCTTGTCATACACCTGGGGTCCTAGCATAGCGTACAATGACATCGAAATCAACGGCGTCAAGATCCCAGTCCGAGAGAATCTATGGAGCTTCCTACATCAGCAGCAACTTCATGGCAATCATGGGCCATTCTGGATCGATGCTCTCTGTATACAACAGTCAAATGTTGATGAACGTAATCATCAAGTGCAGATGATGGGACCCATATATAAGGGGGCTGAGAAGGCTCTGGTCTGGCTGGGCGAAGAGAAGGACGACAGCGATCTTGCCTTGCGCTTTTTGAAGTGCACCTGGAATCCTATGCTGTACAACGATGTTTTTGGCCACAGTACCGACATAGCCCGCAGCATATTATCGTTTTGCAAGAGAACATATTGGTCCCGTATGTGGATCGTTCAAGAGATCATGCTTGCTTGCCACATAGAAATTCATTGTGGTCCTGGCATGTTAGAGTGGCTCAAGCTCTCCGAGTTGTACAGCCATCTAGACGCTCGCTCCACACAAGCTGGGCTCACCGACCAAAACGACGTGGACACGCCTTTGTACCACTTTATACTTGGCAGTTCGGCCATCTCAAGTGCTGCAATGAAAAGATACGCCGATCTGGAGAGGAACAGCCGAGCTACCTTTTCAAGCCTACTTGAAACGTACCGTGATCACGAATGTGAGGACATTCGAGACAAGGTGTATGCTCTTGTGGGAGTCGAAAGATATGGTTCCCTAGAAGTAGATTATCACAAGTCTGTAGAAGAAACGCTTCTCGACACTCTCTATTACGAAAGTAGTCGGTTATGTTGGGAAAGGAATTTCACAGGATTAGATCCTTCGGATAGAGATACGATCTGGGATTTCGGGCTTCTGTTGAAAAAGGTTTTGGCTGTTGAGCTGTCTGAAGACGAGCTGCTGTTCCATGTCAAACGAAGCGAGTACGTAGCATGGACCACATACTGTGACTTGATGGACAAGGACAAGATGCAGAATAACATATCATCTGCCGAATTCCTTGCGGCAGTCGCCTTAGCACGGTGAAATGATTCACACACAGCAAGTAATCAAACAATCAAACGCGCTTTCATTCATCAAGAACTCGATTAATACCTCCATGCTATACTGAGCGAGCCTGCAATCCAATCCAAAGCTCCCACCCTCAATGCTTAGTATTATGTACGAGAAGATGCAGACGTGAAATATATACAGTGAACATCGGCATCTCGTCTCGTACTCTTCAATCCAATTGTAATCGATCCAGAATGACCTCAACACTCTCTAAACGAATAGCCATCTATCTAACGGCGGTACTGGCCCTGATGTTGTTGCTGCGCATACTTTGCTGCCTGTTGCGCCTGGTCGAAGCTTGCGCCGTAAGCCTGCGTGGGCGGAGCCTGCTGCTGTTGCTGCGCCATGTTGCCGTAGCCTTGCGGTGACGGCTGTGGGAAATACTGGCTCTGCGGTGTCTGCGCTGGCGAGACCCAACCTCCAGGGATGTTCATCTGTGGGGTTGGCGCCTGCTGGGGGAAGTACTGCTGCTGCTGTTGCTGATACATGGGGTGCATCTGGCTCGGTGTGGAGTACGCCATTCCAACAATACCTGACGGTGTACCAGGTCCAGTAGGCATGCCCATGACACTCGGTGTACCCATCATGCTCGGTGCGCCCATCACACTCGGAGCACCCATGCCGGTTGGCGTGCCCATACCCATAACACTAGGAGTACCCATCATGCTCGGCGCATAGTTGCTCTGAGCCATCGCATATTGTTGCTGCATCTGCTGTTGCATCATCATCTGCTGGCGTTGCTGAACCTCCATCATTTGGCGCTGTTGGGTCTGCAAGGTGCGTCGGTCGATCTCAGCTTGCATAGTCGGTGTGAAGCTCTGGCGATTGGCCTTGTGAGCCGCCTTCTCCTTCTCGCGATAATCGATATAACCTGTAAGACCTGTCGGAGGCTCCTTTTGCACTTTCTTAGTGTTCTGCGAAAGGTCCAGAAGAGGAGTGTTTGTCATGCGAGCCACCTGTTCCTGCTCGCGAGCAGACAAAGTAGTAGGTTGTTGATTAAGCAGTGTCTCAGCACCGCGGCTTAGAGGGCGGCTGGGTGGACGGGCAGGACCTGGAGAACCCTGAGGCGACCGCTGAATATGACTCCAATCTCCAGAATGCGTACGAGTCCAATCTCCGGAATGCGTGCGACCGAAAGGAGGTGGGGTGTGTGATTTGCTCCTGCCATGTCCATACATTATAGGCTGCTGCTGATGCGCCGCACGATGCATCACCCAGTCTTCAGGATCCAGCCTTGTCCTGTCCGGCTGCTGTGGTGAGGCTGCAGCCGGTTGCCAGGCGACTTGTCGTGAATCCGAGATCTGCGGAGAGTTCGAACCACTGCGCGCATGCATGGGTTGGTTAGGTGACCCTGCACCGGAGATATAAGACAGTCGGTGCTGTTCATTCGGGGTAGTCGCAAGATTCTCCTTGGACCGCGAGGCGCTATTATCGTGCAGCATCTGTGTCATGGTTCCACTGGTGCCCGGACGCTTGCCGTCAAAGTCCAGCGCGTACGTCGGGCCAAAGTCAATACTGGGAACAGCTGCAGGCGCTTGTGCTGGGTCCAGAACAGACTTGTAGCCATGTGGATCTTCATCTGAGGGAAGCTTTACGTTTGGATCTCCAATCATGGTCAGAACACCGCTTCTTGGTCGATCGGTGCGTCGTTCAGGCAATCTTCGTGGAGGAGGCGCAGGTTCCTCTTCAGCGATGCTGGCATAGTCTGGCGTGGAAGTCGATATGGCATCATCGTCGTAGAAACTACTTGATCCGCTTGGCTGACGATGCAGAGTGGGCTGTGTGATGTTGAAAGCGTCGAGAGCTTCAGGGTCGATTACGTCCTCTCGTAAACTGTCGAGTCTTGAGCTACTGGTCGAAAGGGTGTCATCCTCTTGCGAGGCTAGGGGAGACCGACCTGGTACTGGTTTACGGGGTATGCCGCCGCTTTCGGGGTGCGGACGATAAGGGAGCTCGTGACTGGGGGGCTGTGGCGGCAACTCACTATGTTCTGGGACCGATGGAGCTGTCGGCTGGTAGCCTGTGGGGGAGTCGACGAACTCGGAATGCTCGACGTATGGTGATGCGGGAATGGTAGACAGGCGGTTCCCAGAGTTTTGGTTCGTTGGAGGCGGCCTTGAGTTGACACCAAGATACATCGATTGCCCCTGATCACCGTACGCGTTGTAGTCACCACTGCGTCTGCTCTGTATGGTGTCCTGGTTTCTCCAAGCCCCGACTGCGCCAGCGGCAGCTACGCCCCCTGGGAAGGATCCATGTGAAGCGTCTGCCATTTGCTGAAGCGTGGCAGAGTCAACTGCAGGGTTTGGCTTTGCCATGGGCATGTTGGGACGAATGGGTGGCTTTTGATTGGCAGCGTGCTCCTGGGTCGGAGGAAGGTCGACATAACCTTGCGGTGGAGCAGACAGATCTGCAGGCGGCGGTGGAAGGTTCTGTGGCTCCTTGATGGGGCTCTCGTCGTAATCTGACGCAGACGAATCATAAGGCTGGACCGCCCCGTTCGACGAACCGTTGAGTATACGATGCTGGGGAGGCGTCGGCGGTCGCTCGTCTTCGTATGGCGTCTCCTCTCGCGTGAATCTAGATGGATTGTTCTCGTTGCGTCCGTTGACTTGCTCTGACACAGATCGCTGATGGCGTGGGGTACCGAATGGGTTTGCTGCGGGAGCTGTTCCGACGCGACGCGGCGCTTGCACTTCAAAGTCTGGGAACTTGCGTGTAGGAGATGACGCGCGTGTGGACGGGCTGGAGCGAATGGAGCCTTGGTCTTCAAATCGCAGGTTACGAGGTGTGAAGCCTGCCCGGCTGACGGTGTTCCTACGGCTGGCGCGACTGTAGATGGATTCTGCGTCTTGGTTCGCAGTCACCATTCTTGTGGATGTGAGGTCCTTCAATTGCTTCCTCCAGTGGCGCTCTGACCACTTGTCGCTGCCCTCGGTGTTGATCAAGCCCACCACGTCCCACATCTCCAAGTATCCGTAGCGCCTGTCGGAGGGCATAGCGAACATCAAACCGCGGGTGTCTAGAACGTCTGCAATCAACTTCTTTGGGCGTCCGTATAGTGAGAATGTATCGAACACGGGGAAAAGGTACTGGAGCATAATCTCAAATCCTGAAATAGCGGGACGCGACTCGGGCATAACAAAGACGAATCCTTCTGTTGTGCTCTCTGGCGTCGAGTGAATTGTAATCTT